CAAAGTCTATGGAGATAAATGTTCAATAATTGATCATAATAAGAATATATTTCAAGAAAGTAATATAACAATATTTTAACAAAATAATGACAATGGCAACCTCATTTTTATTTTGCATTTTAAAGTTTATAAAATATATTCGCTATGCATTTGTATAGTATCTGTGGTATATTATTATTGGATCATTATAGCAAAACATCAGGGAGAATATTGTTTGTATCCATCTTATATATGGAAAAGCAAATAAGTTAAGGGACTCATCAAAATCTATAGAGCTAGTTATTGAAAGAGCCAGAAAAAGAAGTGAATCAATCTGACTTGTAAACTATGCTTTATTTTTTTGACTGTTATACACATAATATTTAAGAATAAAGTGTTATGTTATTACTATTAGAAACATTAAAAATGGAAACTTCAGTTTTTACAAAATCATTATTACAAATAATGGACAAGGCTAATAGGGATTTATAGACTGATAACAATCCTTCATTTGGATATATGCAAGGCTAGAAATTTTAAGACAAAGAATACTAGAAATTTTCTATAAATTAGTTCTAGTGATGAACAGTTACATAAAAATATTCTTATTTGGTGATTTTCATTATATTTACCTTTCTCTCTGACCCCTCCTCAGTTTTTTTCTTTTATGGATATGTAATTATTTTGTATCTCAACCTATTATTTGAATATATTTCTACCAATGAGAAATCGTGGCTTAAACCTATTTTGGGGCAAGTACAATAAAGGCAGATTCTTCATTCAATGTGTTTAATTTACAGTATTACAATTTAAGCTTAAGTAGCATTACTTTTTGGTTAAATACTTCTGTCCTTTGTAATCGACCTTTTATCTCTATGATATTAGGTCCTAACAGGAAGCAGTCTAGTTTCCAATTATGCAGAGTTTGTTTTCTATTGACTTTTCCTAAAATTATGAGAGGCACTTTTCATAATCCAGTGTTTGATTTCATATAATCCTGCCTCATCTGTGACTTGATGTTTTAATCATGTTGGTGTTTTCAAATTTTCTAAATTTGTTTTTTCTGGAAAAACATTTTTTAAAAATAGAATTATGTTTTAAAATACACGGATATCTTAATGATGTCTGTGCAGTATTGTATTGTAAGACCATTTAAATAATATTAAAATGTAAGTGCATATAGTATGACCTGTATGAGTAAATCTATTTTCAAAGTTGCACAAATAAAGAGGCTGTGTCCACATGTTTAAAGTCATTTTGGGCTGATTTACATTTTAGAGTTATGTCACTTATGTGAAGGTGTGTTTATATGATTGTCCTGGGCAAAAAAAAAACTGGTTTTACTGGGTGGTATTTTTTCCCGCAATGTAACTGAATAAAATGAATAGTTTCAGCATGATGGAGAAGTAATTGCAGCTGTGTGTTAGTGTAGAAGTAGTTGTGGATTTTGGTTCAAACATTCCACCAAGTATGAATAAAGTCAGCTAAACCAATTAACAGTGCTGTAAAGATAATAATAATAATCCCACTAGAAGATGCATAAAAGGCAGATTTTCCAGATTTTGAGAAGAGGTTAAAAACAGTAAAAATATTTTTACTTGGTTGGAAGTATTTGAAATGGTTACTGTTTGTCTGCTTTCGACAGGGAATGAAAATGTCATGTGTATGTTATTATCCTTGCAAATATATTGACTACAAATTTTTATGTTTGTTATCTGACGTTGGCAAGAACACTTTCCTGCATATTGAGTCTCTGTCACCTTTTACTATATAATAATATAATCTTTTAAAAATGAATATTAATATCTAACCATTTTTTCCTTCTGAGTATTACATAAATAAAATTACAAATTATAAAAGAATGCTTTCTCCAACTGATCTTTGTTTTAGGAAATGAAGCATAAAATCCTGGCTTATGTAAAAAATTCTTGAATATTTAGAAACTGGATAGATGTATGGGTTAGATGAATGAATAGGTGGATGAGCAGGATGAGATGGACACATGAACCTATGGATAGGATGGGTGTGTGAGCGTACGGATAGGCCATTATTGATCTGCCCCCACACAGGAAGCGATGGAGGAAGGGGCATTTAGATTTGTGAGGAGCCTGGAGAGAGTAATATGAAGATTTCTTGAAGTCAGTTTTCAAAGTTAAATGGGAAATGCATTATAATGGAAATTTTTTGACAATACTTAAAGAATGTGTCTACAAATGCAATAACCCATAATAAAAATTTCTGTCAATAATGGTGTGTATTTTTTCTTCATGATGTGTAATAACTAGTTTTCAGTGTTGCACTTTCTCCATAGACTTGGCCCAGCTGGCTAATCTGGCATTAATGTGAGAAGACTGTGTCTGAATTGTTTCCAGCCAGGACCTTGAAGTCATTCAGCCATGGTCCTCTTCCATAGACCTTTTTGACGGACAAACACCAATGTCAGAAACTCACCAGCTCTGACTCTGTGTTAGAAAATATGTAGTGTACTGTTCCATATATGAGGATATATTGCTAATGGTGAATACATTCCCTGAAAAGCACCAAAGGCAAATTTAGTATTTCACAAACCCAATCAAGATATGTTCTGTAAGCTTTCTTGGTTCTAACAATTTTAGAGATATCCAAAAATGCTTCTTTCTTCTTTAGCTTTTTCCTGTTATTGTCTCTCTCTTCCTGTCTCTCTCTCTGCCTTCTCTTCATACCTCTAATAATATCAGATTAAATGTTCTCATTGGGATGGAACTGGATGATAAACATATGAGGATATAACTAGTGTCATATACTTTGAATTTTCAAATATGATTTTGAATTTTAAAAACTCTTATGACGAGACAGGTTTGAATGTATATTCGATGACCAGTTAAAATCTGACCACCTTAAACTGGAAAAATATCTTGGAGAAAGTATTGAAGACGAAGAGATTGAAAAAAAAAACTTTTAAAAACTCTTATGACGAGACAGGTTTGAATGTATATTCGATGACCAGTTAAAATCTGAACACCTTAAACTGGAAAAACATCTTGGAGAAAGTATTGAAGACGAAGAGATTGAAAAAAAAAAACATAATAAATGGGGAAAGAAGTAGAGATGTTAAACTTCAGTAAAAATAGATGCAATAAAAATAGAATATTAGAAATTAGATGAACAAAGGAGTGGAACTCTGCTATAGACAGGAACAGTTTTAAAAGCAGCAATGAGGAAAGATAGCTTCTTGGTGACCCCCATGCATGACAATTTTCAGTGAATACTTAAAAATTTTACCTAACTTTTTTGTTTTTTGATATTTGCTTGTCAAATCTATTTAATTTTGCACTTCAAATTGTCTCCTGGTTTCATTTAAACTATATTTTGATGTTTTGATATGACAATTCAGACTATCTAGAACCAAGTGTTTGTATGTTCCACTAAAAAATAATCAACTCCTAAAGTAGTATTGTTAAGATGCTGTGAGCACAGTGTTTTCTTTTATCTCATGGACACTAATAATCCTTATCATTTGAGTAATAATATTTACGTAAGGGATTCACACAGAAATATATCAGCCTTTCCCAAACTGTTTCATATAACTCAGATAACCCACAACTCATATTCCATATGATATTAATAAATATTCCAAAAAACAGGGTCCTTGGTTAAATTAGTTTGCAAAACAGTGCATATGCTATATATCTCCCTCTTAGAACTTTATGGAATTTATCTGAATACCAACAGCTTTGAGAGGCCTTTCAGCAAAATAATAATAATGATGATGTTATTAATCCAGATCTGTTTTCTAAACTGTTTGACATATGCCAGAATATGTACAAAGAATTATGTGTTTGACTTTACCGATGAATAATGTTACACTCTTGTATCAATTATGGTGCAACATAATACCACAAAAAGAGTCTCTCTTTGCTCCTATTCCTAAGTAATTACCTCTTTATTTGATAAAGATTTTATATGGTCCTGTCCTAAGCTTTACCATTACAGACTGGAAACTAGATTATTAACAAGCTCTTCCCTACCACTTCTTCATATAAATGAAACTTTAAAAAAAATTTAATCCCTTTCTTTCCCTTCTGTTTTTTTAAAAATTAATTGTTCACATCCATTGCTAGCAAAGCCTCTCTGAATCTTGGCCCTTCTTCATATAAATGAAACTTTAAAAAAAATTTAATCCCTTTCTTTCCCTTCTGTTTTTTTTAAAAATTAATTGTTCACATCCATTGCTAGCAAAGCCTCTCTGAATCTTGGCTCAAGTCATCACCATCTATTTTTGCCTACTTTTCAGCTTTACTCTTCAGCCCTCCCTGTTAGCGTGCCCCTCCTTCAACATCCTCACCTTCTAAATTCTTTCTCTAGAAACTCTTCTTTTTACTGTGTGTGCAGCCCAAATCTGCTTTATTTTTCTCATGTATGACAAGAAATATAAATGTGTGCTGCAATGTAAATATCATTGCCCTTCTGAGATATATTGACATTTTAATATGCAGTAATCTTTGCATCTTGCAGGACTGAATATTGTGGTCCCATTCTAGCCCCCCAAATCCCCACGAGCGCATAGGTGCTCTTTATTTAATTCATCCCACAGGTCTACACTGGGCCCTCTGGTCTGGCAGAGGGCTGGATAGCTCATGGTCTGCTGGTCTAGTCGGTCCTACACATTGAGCTTTCAGGAGTGACTGATGAAGATACAAAATGCCAATGTCTTTAATTGGCGAAACTGCGCTACACCAAATAATGGCTTCTTTGTATTAATTCACATAGAAACCTGCCTTTTCTTTGATGTGCAAATAGTGACTTTGATGGCCTTGCATAAAATGTCTTTCGGGTGTGTTATTTGATGGCAGATTTGGTTTCCAACCACTGGAAATTTTGATTTAGCTACTGCTTTATTTTTTACATTCCTCTGGTACCCCTGGACCACTCTGCCTTCTGCTGTCTGTCTCCACAGTGCTCCTAGGGGTTGCTGTCTATGTATTTGATTGGTCTCAAGATAGTTACCTAAACAGTAAGCCAATGCCTGTTTTTGCCCACAGGGGTGCGTCTGGACAGAGTACGCGGAGGTCGGCAGAAGTACAAGCGCAGAATAGATGCAGAGAACAGCCCATACCTGAATCCTCAGCTGGTCCAGCCAGCCAAAAAGCCATGTAAGTACAGCAGATGTATCTGGCTTCCCAGAACACAAAATCCTCCCAGTTGGCTCTATGTACACCAGCTTTGGCATGCCCATCTCCACTGACTCAGAGGAGACATCTCTTTGTGGGAGAACAGTGGCTCTATTTCCAAGGATTGTCTGTGAGGAGCAGCAGCAACTCAGCTAATTATCTAATATTTTTTTCTTTTAAAGATGTCTATGGTTTTCTCTCCTTTACTTTCTTTTAGGTAGTCATTTTGTGAAAGCATAAGAATATTAATGCATAGCTCATATAGTGTGAATTTTACATCTACTAGTTATCTTTATTTGCCGAGGTACATAAAATGGATCATACTGTGATCATTAGTTCATTGGAGCTGTTAGTTTCAGATTTCACAAGAAAGTGATTTTTGTAGTTTTCACTAACTAAATGAGTTTGACTGCTCAACCTGCCAATGAAAATACATTAGAGGCCTCATTAATTTGGAGCTATAGAAGGTTAACACACTAGCTAGCAATAGATTAAAACAAGAATGGGCCTTACTAATAACAAGCATAGGTTGGTGGTTTCGTCTCAGGTGCCCTTATGGGCATTATGAATGGTACATTGCTAAAACGCAAGCCCCATCCTCTTTGTCATTAACTTAAAAGAGCTGGAATATTGACTGAGGCAACAACTGTATCCCATTTTCTGAAAAAATCAGTTAATAGCTGTAGTGCATTAGAGCTAGCATTTTAGGATGTTTATGCGTAGAGTTTATTCGAGGCATTGAGAAGTGCTTTGATGGAAAAAAACTCCCACATTTAGCTATCTTTGTCTAAGAAGACACAACCAGCACTCACCAGAGGAAGTTGCACCTACAGCAGTTCTAGAAAAGGCATGTGTAATTTTTGATCTGCTTTCTCAGGGGAGCAGAAAATGTCCACTCCTAATTCTGATTCTCCAGGAGGGGTCACTGCTGTGCATCCTACGTGTTAGCATATGAGAAGCTGTTAAATGAATAAAACAGACCCTGAACTGTAAATGAAAGGACATTTTAGCTATGTCAAAGGAAAAACAACCAGTTTTACATAAAATTAAAGCTTAAGTGAACATATGGCATAGTTTCCTTTTGCCTTTCCAAAAATCATTATGTTGATTATACCTTCAATTGTCCAATCTGGCATCTTCTCAGCCTGCCTAAGCTGTTTGGCATTCTGCAAATACAATCTAGGACTGCATTAAGTAGATTTTGCACATTATAATTAAAAACTTTCAGATAATACAATAAAATGCAATAAACACTAATGCTTAATTTCATTAGAGGTTTCATTTTCCTGAATTCAATCATGTACAGCCAGCCCATTTCTCATTTATTGTATCTGAACATTGACTGAAACCATTGATAACTTCCTCTACTGAAATAAAAATGAGCACCAGCCCATTGGTAAGTCAACATGATAGAGGAATATCTACGGTTTTCCATGTAAACCTGAGAAATTGGGAAGTGGCTTATCAAGGACCTCGAAGAAGATTACAGCTATTTCAGTGAGCTTCACATGTCCAAGATAAAGAGGACTCCTAATAAATCATTACTCATTATCTAAAGTCCTCTGTGTTAATTTTCCTTAGTCCATGCAATTAGTATGTTTTTGTAACAAACATTCATAAAACTTAATTTTCAGATCCTTTCAGATAAGTGTCAAGAGACTGTCCATGGGCTTTGCTGAGAAAGAGTCTGGGGAGACTTCTGGACCCGGACTGGACTGTGTACTACAAAGGCCCAAGAATGAAAATTGTGTTCTATTGATTCTAATTAGGGAAACATTAAATAAGATTTACCTAGAAACAGTGCTGCTGGCTATTCCATTTTCTGAGCTTCAACCAAATTCCTCTGACCCCTCAAGTCAAGTATCCATTGAAGGGTAAAACAGGTAGCATTTTCCCTGCATTAAAAAAACCCTAGAATCATGGATTTCCTTCAGTTACATTGTTGTGCCCTTTACTATTTATTGCATTTTCTTCTAATCTGAGAATCCAGTGGTTGCTGACAGGTTTTGTTGCATTGTCAGAGCAATGAAAGTTGAAACTTTTCCAAGCATAACCCCAAATACTGGGTATTGTTTCCGTAGCATATACAAAAACAAATGTCATTCTTTGCAGATCCAGAAAATTAAAAAAGAATCTCTGTTTAAGTTTTCATTGCAGTGGTTGCTGACAGGTTTTGTTGCATTGTCAGAGCAATGAAAGTTGAAACTTTTCCAAGCGTAACCCCAAATACTGGGTGTTGTTTCCGTAGCATATACAAAAACAAATGTCATTCTTTGCAGATCCAGCAAATTAAAAAAGAATCTCTGTTTAAGTTTTCATTTTTTTTCTAGAAAATATGATATTTGGGAATATTTTCTCCCAAATCCACATGTTCAATTTGATGATAATTGAATATTACTGCCAATGACTGATTATATGTTGACCTTTTGAAATAAATATAATTCCTATGGCATCCATATTAATATATTTTTAAAATATGATATCAGAAAAAATGCTAATTATAGCTTGGATGAGTCTCATTATTTCATGAAAACAGACTAATATTTAGGATAATATTTAATTTAAGGGGCTATATTTAATGCTAAGTTATGTGAAGTCTTTTCATTTTGATTTTAAAAAGTTAAAAACTCATAGTGAAAAGCAAATGGTCTGATAAACACAGTGGAAACTTTGGCTTTGCTCACAAAGATCCCATTGCATGCCCCGGTTTTCTAGAGTTAATAATACAGAGAATATTTAAAAATGTAGGTTTATTCCAACCCATTTGTATCTCCTTACTTAGAAAAAAATATAAAGTCTAAAGCTGCATATAGAAATTGAAAATAGAGCCAACAAGAAAAATCATTCCCCTCACAAGGCTTTACAGCCCCTTCCATAAACTCTCACATGCCCCTAAGCAATAAAACACATTTGATGTGATGCTTTCCATTTGTCTCTAGTGTTTATTTTATGAAGGATTTTTAAAACATATATCACAAATTTCAGACAGGTAAATTTGAACCAGAGAATGAACTAAGGACAACAAATGAAAATAGAAGATTAAAGAATTAGACACTCAGAAGAGGGAATACTGTAACATTTAAGTAGTAGTATTTCTATGGAAACTAAGATAACTATATTTGGAAGGTTGGCTGGGTGTGTGGGGAGGGGGAGAAAGGAAAGAAATTCCCATTTAATACATCCCATGGAAATAGAGTTATATAGTCAGTAATTCACCCAGGCAGAGGGCACTGACCTTTGCTCTTCTTTAAAGGAATTAAGACAATTAATGGCTTTCATGCCCATTATAGCTATGGGCATTAATAGTTCTTTGCCTCCCACACTGTACTGTATATTTCAGTGGTTTACTGTGGGTTTTTATTTTAAAGCTGTTGTATCGTATTTAATATGTTTCTTGTTGTATAGTATTTAATCTGATTCTTTCTTTGAAAAGAATCAAAGAGCAAACTCAGAAAGCATCTAACTTCTCTGTTTGTTTGCTATAAAAATTTTCACTACAGGAAAGATGCTTCATTCCAGCAAAAGCAGGTAGAACCAAGAAAAAGAAAAAAAAATCATTCTATTACAACAGCAGTGGCTTATTACTTGCTTTCTGAACAGTGTTCGGGAAAAAATATATGTGTGTATATGTATATATAAAATACATACATATGTATAGAAAGTTCACCCAGGCAGAGGGCCTGGGTATATATATATAAAGCCATAAATGGAATAATTTGGGTTTGTTGTAGGCTACTTGAATTATTTTTAAAAATACAAAATACTTTAGGGCTCGTAAAAGAGGGGTGATACTACTAGTGATCTTGTAGTGCTCTGGTCTCATCCTGCAGATAACAAGATTGTCTCACATTTATTGGTGGCTGAACCAGAGAAGATCTATGCCATGCCTGACCCTACTGTCCCCGACAGTGACATCAAAGCCCTCACTACACTGTGTGATTTGGCTGATCGAGAGTTGGTGGTTATCATTGGATGGGCGAAGCATATTCCAGGTACATTTTCTAAAAAGAAAAAGTTGCAATTCATTCGCTAGGTCATGTATGCAGATTTGGGCAAATTTAAAATTTTTCATTGGGAAATTTTTTAACCTTTACATTTATTTTTATCACACTTAATTCAGAGCTTTGCTGATTTTAATGGAATCGTAAACCTTTATGTATTGGTACCACTTTGAGCTCTTGTTATTTTTTCATATAATTTTTTAACCTTTACATTTATTTTTATCACACTTAATTCAGAGCTTTGCTGATTTTAATGAATCGTAAACCTTTATGTATTGGTACCACTTTGAGCTCTTGTTATTTTTTCATAAATGAAGGTGTTATTGCCAATGTTTAGTTAAAGAGAATATAACTTTTTAAAACATTTCTTCATCCCTTTTAAAATTCTGAGTTTTTTCCTAAGGAAATACTTCTACTTTCTCTTTCACTTTAAAAAAAAGTTGTTGTTCATCCCTTTTAAAATTCTGAGTTTTTTCCTAAGGAAATACTTCTACTTTCTCTTTCACTTAAAAAAAAAATTGTTGTTTTTTTTTTTCCAGCTGTAGTCTAGTGTACCTTTTTTCCTTTGAAGATTCACTTGTTTTGTTGTTCTTGGTGGCTGGTTATATTGAATTGCTATTCATATTCACAAGCTTTGGTTTGGTTTGCAATTAGATCTTTACTGTGAATTTATGAGTATATATAAATTATTAATATGAATGTTAAATTGACATGGTAAATTTTCTTATATGGCAATTTAAAGTTAGTATTTTAAGATATCTGTAACTTGTATTTCTTGACCCATTCTGTAATATCAATAAACATATACCTCATCACAAGTTTTGAGAATTTTAGTATTTTACTTGAATTATTTTTTATTTTTTTGACCTTGATCATCAAATAGTATATAAACAACTTTTTGAATGATGAGCTGGTACAGTTAACTTACTTCTGTCTCCTTAAACTAGTTTGTCTTTATGCTTTGAATGTTACAGTAATTTCTTTAATCAAATTGATGGAAGTCCCTTTCCCAGCCCACACTGAAACCAATTTATTGGTCATGATACGCCAGCTATGTTGCTAACAGTCGTAACGAACTGTCAGGCGATATCGCAGTGAAGCTAATTTGAAGTCATTAGGTGTGCAGCGTTCAGGCGACAATTTGTTACAGTGGTTAGGGACACAGCTGACATTTCTGAATGGCTTTGTTCAGTGCAGTTCTAGATGAGGCCAAGCAAATTGTAAACTAATTTAAACATCACTCTGTATTATACCAGCTACTTTGTCTTACACTGTTTGCTAATAAAGCACCCCAAATTAAGTCAAAACTAGTTAAATAGGTGAGCTTGAGTTTATTCTCTAGAAGATACCTACACATCTAAAAGGAGGATGAGAATTTGATCATGTGGAGAGTTGATATTGTATGTGGACCGTCATCACATCTATATGACTTTTAGAAAAAGAGAAAAAAGAGTAAATTAAAATGCGTTAAGACATTTGTTAACTCGGGCCATGGAAACAGCCAGAATTTGCTTCAACAATATATGAAAACTTATTTGGAAAAAAAAGTGTTATTGAAGGGTTTCAGTGCAAAAAGAAGCAAAACTAACATTTGTCGAAGTGTCCACAGACACTTTTTTAAGGCAATTTATATATTATATCATTTATATTAATATATCATTATATATGTGTACATGTACACACATATAAACACACACACATATTTTTTAAATGTCATTTTTTCTAACCCAGGATTTCTCAGTGTTGACACTGTATCTTCAGATGTTGCCAAATGTCCTCAGAGAGGCAAAATCATACCAGCCTGCCCCTTCTCCCCCAGTTGAGAACTATTGTCCTAACCCAGGAGTCAGGTATTATTATCCTCAATGCAAAGATGGGGAGAGATTTGAGGCAGAGTGAATAAATACTCTTGGGCAGGTTCACAAATATATCCAAAGCTTCCTGCAGTAAAATCAGGATAATTTAGTCCCCCAGTTGGTTCCTTTTAAAGAACTATTTCAATATAATGAAGATGGTATTATTGTTATTGATAGCAACAGCATGAAAGGCTACCTCATTCTGATTTCAAACCACCCATTTATTTCAGAGAACTCTCCTAAAGTTCTCCCTGAATTAAGGGATTTGTTAAGCCAATATTTTGATATCGTATAGACATGCCATAATAAAGACCAATACAAGTCAGCAACTTTTTCTGAGACTTCTAGAAAGGAAATACAATGATAAATTTGCAGGTCCAGTTGTACATTTAAGTAGAGATGTCAGCTTACAAAGGAACTTATCGCAAAGAGGGTAACTTTAAATAACTATGAGTAACACCATTTCCAGCAGTGGAAACAATTACCGTATGATTATGTGTTCAGTCTTAAGCAGAGGCTTAGAATTGGTGGGGACTGACGTTATTCTCTCTCCATAGCAAATGCCAGAGGAGGTCACTGTGGAGTGATGATTCACAGCTCTGATTTTGTGATACCCTGAGGGTGTTTTAAATGATTGCAAGGAGTATCTTGGCTCTTCAGAAAGGGATTGGCAAAACAAGAGCTGGCTGAAATTCTTTTTAATTTTTTTACAGTAGGTTTGCCATGCAGCATTTTGAAGTCGGAGGTGAGGGTGCTCTGATATCAAAGCGTCCTGGCTTACCTTAGGTTCCGGCTGAAATTCTTTTTAATTTTTTTACAGTAGGTTTGCCATGCAGCATTTTGAAGTCGGAGGAGAGGGTGCTCTGATATCAAAGCGTCCTGGCTTACCTTAGGTTCTGGGAGGATGGGCGTCAGAGGACCACACAGCCGCTATGGGGAGTGTGGGATAGGGAGGAAAAGGCCAAGAGAATATAAAGATGAAGGTCACATTTCTTCCTTGATAAAAGCAAAATTGTGTTCTTGATGACATGAACCAGTCCTGATAACTGGGGTCAGAGCTGGAATTAAAGACAAATCAGAATCGAAATTTCACCTATCCTAGTCTTAACTCCAAAACTCTCTGGTTTTGTAAAGCTTACATTAAAATTAAAGTAAAATCTCTTTTTGATACACTAAAAGTCAAGCCTTTGTTATCTTTATGCTGTTCTCAGTTTGTGTAATCACACACACACACACACACACACCACACACACACACACACACACACACACCCCTCTCCACTTAAATATTTTAAACTAAGTATAGCATCTGAGATAAGATCAGTAGCCTTTCCACACTGGTAAGAATGTACCTTTGTACACTTGCTATTGCTACATGAAAGAAATTAAGACTCCCACAAGAGAAAATATGGAAGGAAAATACATATGGATTTTTTTTTATCATCAAATAGAATTAGTTGACGTACATTAATAAATCATATAAATGGGAAAGTGTTGTTATGAAACATGACCATACTTTATCTATAGAGGAAAAAAGCTCACAAGGGTTTTAGAAAACGCTTGACTTTAGGTGGAGGAGCGTAAGGGCACGAGAACAGATGATGGTGCCCTAATAGCCCTTTTTAAGAATGACAGGGCCCCGCCATTAGCATCCTTTTATATCCTTGGAAATTGCTCATGCCTCGCTTTTCTGGTTCCTATCTGCCTGACTCTTTTTTATTTCTCTTTCAATTTCGTCCGCGCTCGGATAAGCGCATGCTAACACAATACGATTGAGCTGTAAAATGGCACGCTGTCGCCTCTAATCTCCTTTATGTAGATACGGACGGGCTGCACCCCCCACTCCATTCTCTGTCCATTGTTGGACTTTTTCAGAGTGGTCTGCCGAGGAATGGAGGCCCTGTCGAATATCAGAGCTAGGTTTCACAGGGTGTGATAAGACGATTATCAGCCCACCAGTCAGATCTATGATTGTTCTTTGTGGTTGATTAAAATATTAGTATGCCCTGTAACTTTGTTAGCAAAATGCAGAATGTGCTTAGTCAGATGGTGCTTAAAAAAGCATAACCCATATTAGCTGACCTATATAAGTGGCTTAAATATATTTATGGTTCTTGCCAGACAGCTTACTTTAAAAGAGCAGATAAGTATTTGTACAATTAAGTGATTGAAAGTATTTTAGAAAATTTTTTTCCATTTTCAATACGGCGTGTTTTGGGGTAAGGCTCTTTATTTTTAACATGACAAATTGAATGATTATCTATTAAAGAAGGAGGGCTTTTCTTAAGTTTTGGGGCATCTTAGTCACATTTTAAAAACAATGTCTATGGTCATGACATCAAAGGAAAAAAAAAACCCTATAATTTTTCTTCATGCCAAATAGAGGCAGGACATAGTAAGCTCAAAAAAAAAAAAAAATTAAAAAAAAACAAAAAAAACAACCCACAATAGTCAATGATGTGATAAAAAGTCTTTAAGTATATGTTCTCATGTTTTTTCTAAAAACATCCAGTTAGAATGTATCAAAAATTGCTGATTGACTTGGCTTTTTGTAGTTTAATCAGCAGCAGTATTACGACTTTTCTAGCAATGACAGAAATCTGTAAAGAACATAGATAAACTGTTTCTACATTACATTAGAAGTTTTGGAAAAGAATACTCAAGAATGTTTGAATATTTATTGCCAATGATACTGTTTGAAGATATACTTATTATTCAAATGAATTTTATGTAGAGACCAATTTTTAAGGTTATATTACCCCCAACCAAAGTTGTGGAAGTTTCATTTTTAAAATACCCGTTTTTTTGTTTTTTTTTTTTGTTTGTTTGTTTTTTTGTCCTTTTTGAGACCGGCCGCGCTCAGCTAGTGAGCGCTGTGAGCGCACTGGTCATCCTTATGTAGGATCCAAACCCGCGGCAGGGAGCGCTGCTGAGCTCCTAGTGCCGCACTCTCCCGAGTGCGCCACGGGCTCGGCCCAAAATTCCCGTTTTTATTGGTAGGTAAAATACCCATCTTGAACTGATACCATGATTAAGTGATTAGGNAAATTTTTCATTGGGAAATTTTTTAACCTTTACATTTATTTTTATCACACTTAATTCAGAGCTTTGCTGATTTTAATGAATCGTAAACCTT